TTTGTAAAAGTACCAAGATGTATGACCTTTCAAAAGGTCATTGGAAGAGTTTATGCCCATCATGCATCTCTTGTGTAACATGCAAGTCTATGAGCATGACACAAATATTATAAAAAAATAAATTCACCACAAAATTTTGAATTTTTTCGATACATTACGTTGAAATAACAAGTTCTGGCAGTTCTGCGGTGTAATTTTTGAAATATCTTCAATCCAATAAAATATAACTGATGCCAAAATTATAAAATAAAATATTTAAATGAGATAACGTAATTTTGAGGAAAAATTCTACCAATAAGAGGAAATAAATGCAGAAGTTGAAAAATAATACCACCCAACTATTATTAAACACTGTACTATGCTTCACTACATGTCAATATTGAATTTATTATTTACAAATGTACACCTTCAAACACGTTTCGTACCCTTTTTTTTCCTACTCCAGGAATTCAAGTTGATGATATACCTCCATGAAGTGCATGATGGGAATATGGCTGCCTTTACTGGATTACCGCACGCTGAAGTAAATAATCAAACCGATAACGGCTATAACTATTATCAGGATGATCACAAATATTATCATTTTCTTTCTGGCTTTTTTCTGTAAAGAAGGAAAATGTAATATCATAATATGATGATATACATCCATGAAGTGCATGATGGGAATATGGCTGCCTTTGTTGGATTATCTCACGCTGAAGTAAATAATCAAACTTTCATTATTATAATAATTGCTGTCTCAGTTTTTTTTCAACATTAGACAGGCCATTACTCTATAGACCTCATGTATGACCTCTAACATCACACTTTTTGATATTTTTTTAAGGACATGGTTCATATTAAACACAGGTAATGACCGATATGATGATGAATCAGGCAAGAGCATTCAACGTTTAATTTTGTATATATATTGTATATATATTAAATATGATATGCTAATTTCAACTTTAATGACAACTGCATGCATTTTGATTTGGAAAGTAATATATTTGCAAACGGTTGTCGAGATCTCGTTGAGAGCGGGAGAGCTAGCTAGTATAATAGTTTTCCATTCGCTACTGTCATCATGTCCAGTGTTACACTGACCTACGTAACCATGGTATTTAGAATTGTGGACATAATGAAGATTGTCGCACTGTGACATCATATTTTTTCTTCAAGCAAAAATTGCGATTCACCATTTTTTTCCTCGTTATAATCAGTGCTCACAGATTGTATTCCTCATAATATTCCACATAATGAATATTTTGACATTTTTCTAGCGGTATTAAAGTCGAATGAATATGGTTGTCAAATGACTGCTTCTAATAAAAGAAATATGGATTTGGTACGTGTAACAGCTAAAATATCAGAAGTTACGTACAGAGAATGAAATAAATGCAGTTATCCTACCTGGTAATCCCTTGCTTTTTGCAGTTGTTGAGTTCCTTCTTCTACATGTATCTGCGCGCTGTCTACGTTGGCTTCTATGCTATCTGTAAACAAAATATGGCAAGTTACAATGAAATATATCTGAATTGAAATCACTTATCCTAGAGTCTATGAAGAATAGTTATTCAGTTGATGTATGCCATTCCACTAGTGCCTAGGTACAATGCTAGTAATATCTCATCAAGGTCATCTATCGACTGTCGCCATGTTGATGTAATTTTTTAGACTTTTGCCAATATGCAAATGTCTGATGACAAACAGAGATGTACGACATGCAACAACCATAGCTTGATGAGACGTGTAGTGAGCGAAACACTACAAGGAGTCTAGTTTAATACGCAGAGTTCAGTAGCAATCAAGTCATCCCATCAAAACAATTGGTTTTTGGGTGACTATCAATCCAGACACCTTTCTTTTACCCGATTTCACCAACATTTGCACATACCGTAGTCAAAACAATTAATTGTCCCTCAAGGAACAGAACATGACACTATTCTTGATACGATGCAGACGAGAGTGGAAGCAAATTGTCTAATCTCACACACGTCAAACACTTTATGAAGTATGTTTGCAACAATAACAATATACCGGTAATCTCACTAGGATTCCAGTCATGTCGAGCAAAATAGGAGATTTTCCACACAAAAAAAAGATTTAGCTAGCACTCACCGACCATATCACCTTGTTCATGAACCATTGTCGCTAAATCTTTGAAAATCTGATTAACGTCAAGAATATCCGACTGCAAAGTAACAAATATTTGATTAAGGCACCTGAACTTGTTTTTGACTTATAAACCTCAAACATACTTGTAATTTGACAAATTCAATTCAAAATGGTCACCAGAGCAGGATTTAAAGACATGGTGGATAAATTATGAAGTAATAGACAATTTGTGTGTTCCAGAGCATGTTCTCTGGTTGCTATGTTACTGAGGGCGCTCACAACTGAAAGAAGAGGCTGAACCAGTCATTTGTGCGTCCATTGCCTTAGTTTTTAAATATACAACTGACACACAAAAAGACGCTGCTCTACCAATTCAACATCCTGAATAACAATCGGACATTATCGATAAACAAACCTCTAGTTTCCTCAAGGACGTTTCTCGTTCCCGTAGTGCTTCAAGGTCAATCTCTTCTTCCATCATGACTTGTGAGGGCGCAACACTACCAGATCTGGGACTGAAAAAACAAAGGCAAGGACTAAAGTTAAAAAAAAGTTATTACGAGCAACACCACTGCCGAGGTGAAACGCATATTCTTTTTCACAGCTACCAGGTACTGAAATGAAACTAGAAATGTC